TAATTTCTTGCGCGTACAAGGTCCTTGAGAGGTTTGTTCTCAGTAGGCTAATGTTGATAATCAAAAGTCAACTCACTTGTAATTTGCATGGCTTTCTCCCTGGGAGAAGTACACAATCTTGCTTTGCTGAGTACATCATAAGATAGGAACCAAACACTCACGTTGACTTTCTTGACCGCCAAGCTGCTTTTGACACAGCTAATAGGGCACTCATCCTAGAGCAACTAGCTTTTTTTTTGGGGGGGAGTCGGGGGAGATTTGTTGAAATAGATTAGGTGTTATTTGAGTAACAGAACTGCCGCAGTCATCTATAAGGGGGTAGTAGTTTAAGTACTTAAGAATAGCTATAATGCCTCCTTTGAATTGGACACCCCAAAGGGAGGAGTCCTCAATCTTACGCTTTTGAATGTGCTGATGCATAGACTAATAGTTGACATACCTACACAAGTCCATGAGGCTGTCATATGCATAGCAGATGACATTTGCGTCATTGCAAACAGTGATAACCGGCTGCACACACTCCTTGATACACTTGCAAATAAATGTATTTAATGTGGGCTTATCGTTTCCACAGGTAAAACTAGGACCTTAAAATTAATAATCCTCCTGTTTTTAATGTCAATGATCAAAGCATTTAAAACTGCAGGCAATACAAATACCTCGGTGCGAATATTAATAGTGACTTTGTAAGTGAACTACAGCTTAAGCTTAAAGAGAGACTAAGACCTCTTAAAACACTTGCTGGGAAGCACATTTGTATCAATGTCAAATATGCTAGAATGTTCTACATGATGTTCATCAGGTCACTAGTCGACTACCATGCCCTGCATTAGTCTCCCAAGCAATAGGCTAAAAGCTTTAGAGAAAATTTAAAATGAAGCCAAGATAATTCTTGGAGCTCCCAAATGCACAAAAATTAATGTGGGAAGAGCTGAAACTCCCAACCATATGTGAAAGAATTGAGCCACTCAATACACCCTCTGTGTAAGGGTGACGAGAGACCCAACGTCACCCTTGCTACTTGGAGAAAAACTGACTAGTGCTGTTTGTAGGCGGGGAAAGTGTTGCCAACACACCAGCGGGCAACCTATATGCAAGCTGATTGAGTAGAAGTGTTGCCAATCTCGTTAAACTGAGGATTCCTATTGTATGCAACGTACTAGCCATTGATATCCCATTATATCTGTACCCTGAAATACAAGTGTCTTACGTGTCCATCAGCAAAATGAGCAAAGAAAACCCAGCACTTCTTAAAGCAACAACACTTGAAACCGTTGATTCCTTTATAAATAACTTACGGGCTCAAGAGCACTATGCTTACGCTGATGGGTCTTCAAATGTCAACAGGTCGCACTGCAGCAGCCTATAAAATATACAAAGACAACATATGTACACAGACCCCCAAGTGAGACACAGTAACTGGCTTAGCTCCACACATGCAGAATTAGCTGCACTGCAACTTGGTACTAACACACTGAAGAACATGGGAGGAGTAATTTTCTGTGATTAAACGTCAGCTCTTCAGGCCTTTAAAACCCCAACATGCAAAATAGGTACTAGGAATGTTGTAACATCCATTACAGACATTATTAATGCAAAGAGCAAGAGTTTCACTCATTTGTATGCATACCATCTCACATAGGTGTTGTCCAGCATGATGACAAAGCAGCTAAAACTGTATGTGTTAACCCTGAAATTATTGGATATGGGCATTCCAATCAGTATTTAAGGAAATTAGGGAAGACTGAAGAGAGAAGCGACACCCTGACACTCAAAGGAAGCAAGGGTATAAAGAGCTATGACATGTTTAGAATCGAGAATTATATGTACGGCCAGCATAAAACATCCACTTGACAGTGTGACAATGTAATTTCCAGAACTAGGCTGAGATATCGATATCTATGGCAGGTGGCTACAGGTAATGAATCCCCAATGGTGAACATTCCAATTGTAAACTATGTGAACCATCCCCAACACTATATCTGTGATTGCCTTGTTATCAGTGACTTCAGATCGAATGGTATGAGGTACTTTGAGCTCTGTAATTAATTCCTACACTCAGGTATATTGGAAGATTTTCTTGTGCTGTATCCAGATTTTGCTAGTGGAGGCTAATAGATCAGCCTTCCATTTCATGTTCTCTCCCGATTCCATGCATGACTAACCATCCTGTGAGATGGGGATATTAGATGAGCTTATAGCTAGTTTTTATTTACACTGTGTAAACTTTCATACAAAATAGGGTATCACATTGCAGTGTATACCTAAGCTTGTTAATAATAAAAAACTTAAAAATCCTATAATTATGAATTTATCGCTCACATACATTTGCTAAGAAATTTAAATTTTGCCAAGTTAAACAATAAAACTACTGTAGCCTAATGTAAGGAAGTCTTTGATTGGGAGGTCTCCCTTCCCCATTCCCATCCCCGTTCCCCTCTCCCCCTCTTTCTCAGAAAACCGGCAGGAGTAGCATGAAAACTAATGAAAACACATACTAGACTGTTTCAGACTGAAATTCGCATGGACGGGTATAGATGCCGTATTTCTTAATGCATGACACTTTGGTCAACCCCGACGGGCCTATGACCCCCCCCTCCCGTTTAATTTTTTGTTTGAAAGTTGTATGAGGCTAGCCCTGAACATGTTGTCTCCTACTTCTAACAGAGATAGTACTTTGGACATACATACATTCCATTTTACAGATAAAGATGTGTTACTCCTCACACTTTCTTTCTAGAAAGTACATTTTGAGAGCTTTCAGACTTTCAGAAATATTTTGGTGCTTTATCGTGTCTGAGTGCCGTATGTTACCTGTATTCCCCATTTATTTCAGCTGTCACTCTTGCTCTAAATGGGAAAGTGAGTACCGAGCAGTACTCAAGACAGGACAGCACAAGTAATTTAAATAATATGAACACTGGTGGGATTCCTGGGTTTGAAGGTTCTCATAATTCACCCAGCCATTTGCCTGGATGATGTATTTGCTTTGTGCTCATTTAACGTTAAGTCGTCTGATATCATTATCAGTTTTATTTTTATATATTGTTTCTTATCGATGCCTTGTACTGATCTGATTGTCATGTACACTGTATTTTGTTTAAGTTCTCAATACCTAAGTATTAAAAGGCACAAGAATCAACATGAGGAAGAATCATGTTGTATCAACATGGATCGACATCCATCAGTCTCCTGAGACTGATGGATTCCTACTACTACTACTACTAAGTATTTGGAATATATCACTGTTAAACATGTTATTTTATGTTTCCCAATCGAAGACTATTTATATCAGAAGATTTTAAGCGTCATTTATGAAAGTAATTTTCATGCTGATTATTTTAGCATCTGCAAAGGATTATAGGAGGCTGTGTACCCAATATACACCAATGCTTTAATCCCTAACACTCCGGGATTCCAGTACATCTGCTCAGCCCATTCTCCTACAATGAAAGTACTTATTCGCACTTTCGACCACAGTTTTTATATGTCGTGATGGACCACTAGAAGTAGAATTGTATTATTGAATTTGGGCAAAAACCGGAAGAGTTTTTATATTTGTTGTTAGTGAAACCTAATGTAGCATAACCTAACCATCCTAGGCCTAACACACGCTATCAGAGGCCTAATATAGTACATATATGAGCTGTAATAGATCTAGGAATATTTACGTTTGGTGTTTTGCTTTATTTTTCCTGACTAAAAAATAGTACAAAAAGTAGCTTACTGGGGCTCCATCCAGTAGAGCCTCTCTCCTCCCCGAGGACAGGTTGATTAAAGCACCGTAATGTTGACTTGACTGAGCAGCAACCTCTATACGTTGCTTTGATTCGCACGTTTCTGGTTAAGCTGAACAGTACGTGGCATTTTTGGGGACGGTCGTGATCACGACGTACTGTATAAGATTGTAAGGCATATCGACAGTATAAGACGCTGTAGGATGCTCAAAGTTACAGTGGAATGAGAAAAGAGGTGAAAACTAGAAAAACAAACTAACCTCGGATATGAATGCTTTATTCTGCACGAGTGGGAAACGACTGGAACGAGTTAGGAAAGGTTATTGAAGTAAACTCATTACAACTTTAAAAGCAAATATGAGAAACGAGAGAATAAATATGGTCTTAGAAGTGCCGGTAGGCACAGTAGGAGCCCACATTCCCACACGTCATCATGCACATGAATTAGGCAATTGAGAAAGTAGAAAACTTTATCTACAGCTGGAATGGGTGGGGAGTGGTAGACTAAGATAACCTTGCAACACGGCACAAGGGCCAGGGAAAACAATCATACCATGCCAAAATATTTAAAAAGCATTGTGAAAGCATAAGTGGCAGACTTCCGCAGGGGAAAATGTGCAGTTGGAAGGCTCGGATAAGATTGATGGATATAAACATAATTTTTTTCGGTTGGTGTAGTGGGTAAACGAGCAGAAAGGTTTAGAGGGTGTGGTATTTAAACTTATATTCCTACATGTGGATAAAGTATATGGTAATCGATTAGAGTCGATTGCTCTCATTTCTGACCATACGATAGATGTCAAAAGGTGGTAGCCTAAGAACTGGAGCTCCGTCACTGTAACCATGATTAGATAAGCACATACACAAATCCTCCTATTTCCCCCTCATCACGCACACACTAGTAGCTCAGAGGTTACCGAGTTTAATGAGGTTGAGTCGAGTCTGGCCGCATTGATCTTCAGAGGCGACCAGTATTGGCCCTCATGAGTACATTGGCTTCCACAGTCATCAATGCCTCAGTTTCCTCCACTTACAACGTATCCTAAACATTCTTTACATGCCATGTGGTTATGTAAGTTTGCTATTTACTTTCATTAATTTCATATTTTGTTATGAATATTTAATAATTTTTATAATTACATTAGGTGGACAGTATAAAATTTAAAAGAATTATGAGGTGTTGATAATATTCTAATATTACCTTAAAAATAACATTGACAAATATTTAGTCAGTTATGATCGGTGTTCATTTGTTTCAGTGTG